CCCCTGCTCCTTAGGGTAGAGAGAAACGGGATATAAAAACCAACTCTTCTTTTTCTTTGGGAGGAGGTGATCCTTGGAGCAGATTGCTTGTTCCGATAACTTATCAGTTTGGTGTAGTGGTTAAGTGCGCGGACTCTAATCTGGGAGAACCGGGTTCGATTCCCCACTCCTCCACTTGCACCTGCTGATGTGACCTTGGGTCAGTCACAAGCTCTGGCACAGCTGTCCTTGAAAAAGAGCAGTTTGTGTCAGAGTTCTCTCAGCCCCACCCACCTCACAGGGTGTCTGTTGTGGGGAGGGGAAGGGAAAGGAGTTTGTAAGCTGCTCTGAGACTCCCAAGTGAAGGGCGGGGTATAAATCCAATCTCCTCTCCTCTCCTCCTCCTCCTCCTCCTATCTCTCCGTTGAAACTCCAGGTTCGCATCTGTGGACTCCTGCTGAGAAACAGTTGTTTAGGAAGGCCTTCGGCATGCACAAGAAGGACTTCTACCAGATACAGAAGAAGGTAAGGCCTTCACAATGCAATCCTGAGTCGTGCCCTCGTAAGCCCACCGAAGTCACCAGGCTTAGTAAGGGGTCACTTCTGTTTAGGATCGGGCATTCAGTAGGCAGAAGAAGTGTGTTCAGATCTCTTTTTATTTTATTTGTTATTAAATTAATACCTCGCCCTCCCAGCCAAAGGCCGGCTCAGGGCGGCTTACAGAAGAATTTTACAAAATGGATTATTTGCCGCCCCTCATGTATATTCACTTCGATTTCCCCCCCTTTTCTTTTCTTTTCTTTTCTTTTCCCTTCTCCTTCCTGCCTTAATAGATACAAACTAAGACTGTTTCCCAGTGTGTCGAATACTACTATAACTGGAAAAAAATATTAAAATTTGACTGCAGTCGATCACAAGTGGTAGAAAAGAGGTCCAGGAGAGAGCAGGATGAGGTAGAGGAAGAAAAGGTAGAGAAAGATTGTTGTGGGGCAGGGGGGGGGGCATCCGGCGGACGTTTGAGTGTACAGATGTAAAGATTTCTCATGTTTTTCCCACTCTCCCAACCCACTCTCAGCTTTACAAGAGGCTGGGTCCAGGCAACAAGTTGTCTTGGGGAAGGCGTTTTTTTATTTTTGTTTGTTTGTTCGTTTCCACTCTGTGCGTCTGTTGAGGCAGACCTTGCCCGCAAAACGCATTCTGCGATAAATTTTGCCTTCTGAGTTGTTTTGTACGACAGAAAGACGTAAAACTTTTTTTGTTCTGCTGGATTCCTGCACCCCCCAATTTGGTTTGTGTGTGTATTAACTGCATCGAACAGTGTACGCTTCAAGCTTGCATAATATTAGACATCCTCTGTTTTTTTTTGGGGGGGGTACTTTGGGTTCTTGGAGGTAGTCCTGGCCAGTTTGGTGTAGTGGTTAAGTACGCGGACTCTAATCTTGGAGAACCGGGTTTGATTCCCCACTCCTCCACTTACACCTGCTGGATGACCTTGGGCAAGCCATAGCTCTGTCAGAGCTGTTCTTGAAAAAGAGCAGTTTCTGTCAAGAGCTCTCTCAGCCCCATGCCTACCTCACAGGGTGTCTGTTGTGGGGAGGGGAAGGGAAAGGAGTTTGTGAGCCGCTCTGAGACACCTTCAGGTAGTGAAGGGCCGGGTATAAATCCAATCTCTACTCTTCTCTTCTTCTCTGGTACAGCGTTTTTTGAATGGGGACAGGAGCTCTGATCTGCACACTGCACTGTTCCCCAGCCCCCACCCTAAGGACTGTCCTAATTTCTGGTGAATTCTGCAGCCTTTTGAAGACGTGGCCGAACACATGCGCTGCCATGTTCACTGCAAGCGCCATCAATCCTGGCGTACCTCGTCCACAGTTTTGTGCCACCGGGTTTTTCTTGTTTTTGTTTTTTAATTTCTATTTTGCCACTGGGAGCAGGGCCAGCATTTGAAGCTCCCAAATTAACCTTAGGATCCCTCACTGTCATTTGCCAAAACGTTAAAAAAAGTGATGTTAATGATAATTTTTTTAATGCCCCCCCTTTCCTGCCTTGCAGACCGCGTCCAGCCCAAAGAAAAGACACTGCCAGCTGCCTAAACAGGAGAGCAAGCTGAAGCCAAGGACTTACAAAAAAGCCGGACAGAGTGCCTTCAGTCCAGCCGGCAGCCTGAAGGAAACTCCTGACAGGCCCAAGAGCACAGGCGTTCTGGGTGTGTTCCCGTGTAAAGAATGTGCAAGGTATTTGTCCCTGGTTTCTTGTGCAATTGCAGTAGGCCTACTGTGTACTGACAGATATTCTCTTCTGCTCCTTATCTCGGTGGGTCTCACTTTGACAATCTAAGGGACTCTGCTTTAGTTGGTATCAGTCTCCACATGGACCAGAAAAACTCAAACATTAAAAGTCTCAGGGGAGAAAAAGGACATGAGAGCATAAGACAAGCCAATGTTGGATCAGTCCAATGGCCATCTAGTCCAACACATAAGAGAAGCCAATGTTGGATCAGGCCAATGGCCCCTCCAGTCCAACACTCTGTGTCACACAGTGGCCAAAAATACCAGGTGCCATCAGGAGGTCCAGCAGTGGGGCCAGGACACCAGGAGCCCTCCCACTGTTGCCCACCCCCCAAGCACCAAGAAGACAGAGCATCCCTTGCCCCAGCCTGAGCGTTCCTATCTATACCTTGTAGCTAATAGCCACCAATGGACCTCTGCTCCATATGCTTATCTAATTCCCTCTTGAAGCCGTCCATGCTTGTAGCCACCACCCCCTCCTGTGGCAGTGAATTCCATGTGTTGATCACTCTTTGGGTGAAGAAGGATTTCCCTTTATCTGTTCTAACCCAACTGCTCAGCAATGTCATGGAGTGTCCATGAGTTCTTGTCTTGTGGGAAAGGGAGAAAAGGACTTCTTTCTCGACCTGCTCTATCCTATGCATAATCTTATAAATTTCGATCATGTCACCCCTCAGCCGTCGTTTCCCCAAGCGCTTTAACCTTTCTTCATAGGGAAAGTGTTCCAACCCTTTTATCATTCTAGTTGCCCTTTTCTGCCATTTTTCCAATGCTATAATATCCTTTCTGAGGTGTGGCGACCAGAACTGTACACAGTACTCCAAATGAGGTCGCACCATCGATTTATACAGGGGAATGCTGATACTGGAGCCCCATCCTTGTTATGTTGGGTTCCTGAACTGGAATGGCGTGCGTGTGCGGCTCACATTCCTGTAGCATCTCACTAAGTGCCCTGTAAAAAAACAACAACCAACCCTGGCCTTTGTCTCTCGTCCGTATGTAGAGTGTTTGACAAGATAAAAAGCCGGAACGCTCACATGAAGCGCCACCGCCTGCAAGAGCAGATGGATCCGATTATCAAGCTCAAGTGGCACCTGAAGAACGAGCCAAAGAAGGAAGAAAGAAACCTGGACGTGGACTTTCTCCCGTGGTAGCTGAGAAGTTGTGGTTTTGGGGGTAAGAACAGTGATAAACTGGTTTGCGACAGGGGAAACAAGTCGGGGTGTTTGTTGAGCTTTATTTATTTTTAGACGCATAGCGCCTGTTCCTTCACGACGCAAGGTTGAAAACGGGTGTGCATGTAACAGATTGTGTGCAAGTTCAGACTGTCAGTAGCTGGGGGGGGGGGATGCTTTGCCAGGACTGAAGGCTGCCAAGAGACCTTCCACAAGTACGCATTTGAGGCTTTTTTGAGGGCAAAATTAGACGGCACGCAGGGCTGCCACCAAAACCGGCATCCGTGTGTCTAGTTCCCCCGATTCCCCAGTAACATCGGGTGTCACCAAGCACACGACACAGTGCCATCACACTCCGAGCAACGGCAGGGAATGGAGCAGGGGTTGTACCACAATGAGACGGACTTGGGCCGTCCGTGTGTCATTTGTAAAGTCCAGTTTCGCCCTGGAAAGATTTAACGTGTAAAGTGTTGGGATGCTTTCGGGGCTGTGGCACTGATTCGGCGTTGTTGTTGGCTACGGCCAGGCCTGCCTAAAATAAAAAAACAGTATTTTGGCTTTCCGTATTCCGTGCCTACATTTCCCGCATCGCCAAGGGAGGTGGTGCGAGCTAATCAAGTCTGCATCAAATTTCAATTATGCTCAGCTGGTAAGAACGGCAGAAGAGCCCGTGCTCGGTTACAGAACGGAAAGCCTTTTCGCTGGCTCTGAAATATTACAATTACAAAACAGCCCTCCTTCTATTCCGCCCCCCCCCCAAATCCCTTACCTATCGTTTCCAGGGTTCTAGTGTGGTTTCTTTGTTTTGTTTTGTTTTGAAGACAGACGGAGTGTGCCAATCAATGAGAAATCACCATTGTGTCTTTTGTGTGTGTGTGTGAGACATTTGATGTTTGTGCAACTGCTTTTTTTTTTTAAAAAAAAAAGGAAATTCACTCTGTACGCCTGCCACGATCCGCATTATTTGGCTGTTTTGTATGCACTCACAGTGTTGCTTATTAAAATTGGTTCCTCAGCTGAAGTGGCGACCTCTTCCTTGCCTCTCCTGAAGAGTTGTTGTTCCAAAGAGAAGCAAAAGGGTCGTGTGTAAGCAGGATCCTTCCCCCTCTCCCCTTGGCACACCCCCCACCACCATTTCTGTACGTGGAAGGGATGGGAGGTCAGGTGGTTCTCGGAACCGTCTGCCCCAGGTGGACTCACACCAGAGGCCTTTGGAGAGCGGGGCTGGTCCCGCACTCCTTTGAAGCCAAGTAGCTACTGTGCTTCCTCGGCTGAAGCTCCTTTGTTGGGTATTTGCCTTTCCCACTCTGATTGGGCTACTTTGGCTGCTCAGCAGAGAGCAGCGCCCAGTTCGTTCCCTCCACGCCTTGCCTCAGTGGCGCCTCTACCCAGTTCCCACTTTTGAGTCATTGACACAGAAGATGGCCTGCTTTTCCCCCCCACACCAGTCCCCATTGCGTCTTCCTCTCTCCACACCTGTCTTGGGAATGACCCTTCCTTCCTTCCTTCCTTCCTTCCTTCCTTCCTTCCTTCCTTCCTTCCTTCCTTCCTTCCTTCCTTATCCCTCCCTCCCTTCCTTCCTTCCTTCCTTCCTTCCTTCCTTCCTTCCGCCAGTTTGGTGTAGTGCTGAAGTGTGCGGACTCTAATCTGGGAGAACCGGGTTTGATTCCCCACTCCTCCGCTTGCAGCTGCTGGATGACCTTGGGCAAGCCGTAGTTCTGATAAGAGCTGTCCTTGAAAAAGAGGAGTGGGGAATCAAACCCGGTTCTCCCAGTTTAAAGTCCGCGCACTTCACCACTGCACCAAACTGTGCTCTCACCAAAACGAGCAAGCTGGTCAGAGCAGTGGTGGTTTCGTTCCCCTTTCTACTCAGCCACCTGGCCTGCTCTGCCTTATGCCGGCGAGAGAGCAGGAAAGGAGAGAGGGAAGCAGTGTTCCCTCTCAGCTGAGTTAGCGTGAGCCAGCTCGCAGTTTTTTAGCCTCTGGCTCACCCATTCCTGTCTCCGCTCAGGAGGGAGGGCTCCCGAGGAAACTGACCGATGCAGCAGCCAAATCGCTCGCTCTCAGCTTTACTGCCAGTCGCTCACAAAGTAGGATTTTGGCTCACAAGACTCCACAGCTTAGAAGGAGCATTGCCCGCCACCCGCCTGCCAGCAGTGTTCCCTCTCAGCTGAGTTAGTGTGAGCCGCCTCACAGTCTTTTAGCCTCCAGCTCACAGGTTTTTGTCTCAGCTCGGGAAGGGATGGCTCCGGAGCAAACGTAATTGATGCGGCAGCCAGATGGCTCGCTCCCGGCTTCAATGCCAGCAAGCTCACAGAGTTAGAATTCTTGTTCACAAGACGCCACAGCTTAGAGGGAGCTTTGTGGGGAGGCCCTTCCCCTCACCCCAGATTATACGAGGGCCGGCTGAGGCTGAGCTCTACCTGGGCAGAGGTACTCCTGGTAATTTGAAGAATTATAGCTGCATACTTAATGGTGGTGGAGAGTGCCGTCGGGGCGCAGACGGCTCACGGCGACCCCGTAGGGTTTTCAAGGCAAGAGATGTCGAGAGGCGGTCTGCCGTCGGCCCCGCCTCTGCAGGAACAGCCCTGGTATTCCTCCGTAATCCCCCATCCAGTTGACTAACCGTGGCCGACCCTGCTTAGCCGATGAGGCCGGGCCACCCTGGGCCATCCAGGTCAAGGCAGAGACAGGGAGAGGTTCGGCCACGGCCCGCCTCTGCCTAGCGGACTCCGGACTCCCTTGCTGGTCTCCAGTGTTTCCTCTCAGCTGAGTCAGTGTGAGCCGGCTCACGGTTCCTTAGCCTCCGGCTCAGACAGTTTTGTCTCGGCTCAGGAAGGATGGGGCTCCAGAGCAAACTGATTTTATGCGGGAGCCAAACCGCTCACTCAACCACTTTAAGGCCAGTCGCTCACAACAAGGTAGGATTTCTGCTCACAAGACTCCACAGGCTTAGAGGGAGCCTTGGTGGTCTCCCGTCCAGATATTGAGCAGGGCCAACCCTGCTCAGCTTCTAAGATCAAGGTAGCCTGGGCCGTCCAGGTCCGGGCACGTACTTCATAGTTGTATTATTTTGTGTGTGTGTGTGGTGTTTGATGGGGCAGAGCACAGGGGGCAGACGGTAGTCACATGGCTCTTTCAGCGGCTGAGAACGGCAGATGTGGCCAGTGTTCCCTCTAAGCTGAGACAATATGAGCCAGCTCACAGTTTTTTAGCCTCTGGCTCACACGTTTGTCTTAGCTTGGGAAGGAGGGCTCCCGAGGAAACTGATTTTATGCAGGAGCCAAATCGCTCGCTCACAACTTCAATGCCAGGTAGCTCACAAAGTAGGATTTTTTGCTCACAAAACTCCACAGCTTAGAGTCTCCTGTCCAGGTCAGGGCTCATACTTTATAGTTATATTATTTTGTGTGTGTGTGTGGTGTTTGATGGGGCGGTGCACAGGGGGTAGACGGTAGTCACATGGCTCTTTCAGCTGTTGATAACGGCAGATGTGGCTAGTGTTCCCTCTAACCTGAGTCAATGTGAGCTAGCTCACAGCTTTTGAGCCTCCGGCTCAGGAAGGAGGGCTCCAGAGCAAACTAATTTATGCAGCAGTCAAATCGCTCGCTCACAACTTTAATGCCAGTAGCTCACCAGGTAGAATTTTTGCTCACAAGGCTCCACAGCTTAGAGGGGGCATTGGATGTGGCTATCCGTGAGCTAACGAGTGAGAACCGCTGTGTTATGCCTTACTGGCAAGAAAAATGCGTCCTTCCGACAGGGGCCCACGCAGGACTATCGTGGGCAGGGCATTCTGAAAGACCAGCTTCCCCGCTCACTAGGGAAGAGGTGCGCGGGAGGCAAAATAATCTTCCCGTCATGGAGTCCGGAGGAGCCCGTAAAGCCGCTGCCTCGAGGCCCCCTGCCGGGAGCCGTCCAGCATCAACCCACACACAAACGGCGCAATCCAGGCTCGCAGCAGACGGGGAGCCCCAGCACAGAAATCGTACAGCTGGAGGTGTGATTCAATACCCGTTGAGCCCCACTGTTCTTGTCCACGAGGAAAGGTGAGGTATCAGTGTTTTAATAAATAAATAAAGGCGGGGTTACGACTGCTCTAATAAATACATAAAGGCAGGTGGGACGGTGATTTGAGACATTTCCCATCCACCCCCCACTCCCGGTGTGTATGCTTCTGTATATCAGGTCCGAGCCCCTGCCTAGCTATGGTCCATGAGACTCCTGAGGGTAAGAAAGAAGTCTGATAAAGGCCCAATATTAAAAACCTAGTTGAAGCTTGTAATATACAAAAATACATGTATTTATTAGAAAGGCAGTTAAAAACATATAAGGGCCCAATGAAAGCCTCGTTGAAAAGTTCCTAGCGGCCTGAACACCCGAGCCAATACACGTGAGTGTTCCCTCTAAATGAGTTAGTGTGAGCCAGCTCAGAGTTTTTTAGCCTCCAGCTCACACATTTTTGTCTTAGCTCAGGAAGGATGGCTCCAGAGCAAGCTAATTTATGCAGTAACCAAATCGCTCGCTCACAACTTCAATGCCAGTAGCTCACAAAGTAGAATTTTTGCTCACAAGACTCCACAGCTTAGAGGGAGCATTGCACGTGATCTGATGCGTTTCTGCCCTATTGGGGCCTTCTTCAGCGGTCAAACAGTATTGAGGTACATGTAACAATAATACATATTACAATAAGATAACCAATAAGTTAATACTGGACCAAGAGGACACTCTAGCTCTGACTTAGATAGCCACACGGGTGCTTTTTGGACCTAAATTGGAAGATGTTCTAATTCGGGAGCTGTGCATTTTGCACCAGACACAGGATGCTCACCTTTAGAGGCCTCACGAACAGCTTTGTCTTGTGTCTATAGATCTTGCTGCTTAACCTTCCTTTCCTTGGTCCAGTATTCACTTAGTGGTTATCTTATTATAATATGTATTATTAGTTGCTGTAGATTTTCCAGGATGTGTGGCCGTGG